TCTCCTCCATTTGGAACAGAAGAGAAACGTTGTGGTGTATGTTTAGATTGAAAAAGCCGGTTTGAATTATAGTTGCTACCCTACAATCTTATGTGTATTCTGTAGTTACGGCCAACTCCCATGCTCTTCTTGTTGCATCCGCTGACCTTCCTTTGGAATCATGACCGCTTCAACACCTAGGTGGCGGGTAGGTCCCAGGCAACGTAATGAGGCTATGTGGGGGCCGACTATACAACAACTAGGCGCTGGTCCTGACGCCAGACAGATAGAACAGTGGAGAGGACGCATTATCGGTGACCGACAACCCTAAAGTGTCTTTTGGTTGTGTCCCTCGATGTAACCCGTGTTTCTATAACCTGTAATTAGGCATGGAGCTCCTTGTAGGAAACCGCATTCGAGTTTTGCTGCCTCCTCGGCCGACAGCAACGACCCCCGTGGTTTTTCTCCACATCCGTACCACCCTAATAGCTCGCCCGCCCTCTTCTGCCTACATTACCCTGCTTACCTTCACCTTGCTGCAACCTGTCCTTTCAACGCCACTCTCCTTTATCAAGTCTTAACTGTCCACCAACAGGGATAATATTAATTGAGGACCGAGCAGCTACCCGCCTGCTCGTGATCCTCACCTACCGAAGCCCATCGTCGTCTAGTTACCACTACTGAGAGGGACCAAAGCAATTCTGCCGCTCCTTAGCCGCGTCACCTCGCCCCCTTAGTGCCTGCCTTGACTCTCCTTGCGTTCATATATCCCCCTACCTTCGATCTTCCGCCACCCTTGCGATCCTCTGCCATCGTCCTACTTCGCCAGCATCGCTTGTCCTCGGTAGAACTAGCACACTGGCTCGCACTAGCCACCATACGGCACCCAAAACACTCGTCGCCGCTGAACTAGTTGATATTGTCCTCGCTAACATCAACGACTTCAACTTGCCGTCCTTGCACGGTCTCGTATCCTACTCGATAGGCTACCTACTACATTTCCATGCATCAGTTTTGTATTCCTTTGCTGTAGTGGTTTGCTTCTTTGCATTGTGGTGGAACTGCTCACAATAGTGCTATGTACCTATTTTATAATAAGTATGCCTTTTTGTGTGCTCGCCTCTTTTTCAAGTCGTATTGTCAATTCCGGCCAAATTTGCCTCTTTCGTTCAGTTCGAAGAGTCACACGCATACAAAATCCCTGTTAATTCAAAATAGCTGCACCGTCTATGGTCCCTATCGTACTTAAACGAGTCAATAATCAACCTAAATCTTTAGCCTATTTGGGCGAGTTTCAATCAAAGAACCTCGTAGGGAATTTTGAGTAGAACGCACAGTACTTTATACTGGTAGTGTTTCGGTACGAAGTAGCAAAACTGGGCTGCATCGCTGGTTAGGCAAACATTATGCTATAAAATATGTTTTCAGTGTAAGTCGCAGACGATTTACTAGATCATTTGGTGCTTTTACTCGGCACTACCAGCCCATTTCCCCTCTAGTTTTAATCTTCAGTGAGCATTCCCAAAAAAAAAAAGTAGAAGACTGCCTGCTAGCGATCTGCGGCTCCAATACTCGCGCGTTCGAAGTGGACGCTGTGAACACCCCGGCTTCCTGTACGGAAGGAAAGTCGCAATCGTCAAGTCGCTCCCAAGATGCCAAAGGTCTCGGCCAGCGCAACCGAAAAATACCAGCAAGACGACTACTTCGGCTGAGAAGACTGAGGAATCGAAGTGAGCCCTTCAGCGCTCGCTGCAAACTTCTAGCATGAAGAACACAGTGAAGAAGCAAACGAAGGTCCCAGCCAACACCTGGTCAGAAGCGATCGCAGCGGTAAACAACGGTGTGCCCATTAGAACAGCGACAAAGACTTACGGAGTTTCGCACGAACCTCTCCAACAACAACTCCGTGGGGTTGTGCCTTTACAAACTTGTTCCAGGCCTAAGCTCGTGTATGTTTCCGAAAATCATGGCGGTCACAAACTGGTTGAGAGATTTCATTACCGGTCCCTCAGTGGAATGCTAATTAGTTTTGGTGAACTACGAGGCATGCTACGTCAGGTAGCGGAGGAGACGGAGATACACCCACTGACGGACGTTTTCCCTTGCCGGTTCGTTTTGGGGTTGGTTGGCAGGCCCTTGGCCGGTTTTTTTGGTTGGAGGAAAAACTGCTTCGATCGACAAGCAGTAAACCTGCACGACCAATTTGATTGTCGGCGTGAGGAATCGGAATACAGAGTGGCAAAAACGAAGTAAGGAAGCCCATCTGACTCAGAATCTGGGAAAGGAGGATGGCATGTGTATAGCTTGGATAAATAATCTTCTGGGTGACTTGACATTATCTAGGACGCTGTTACAGCAAGAAACTACAAGCTGAATTCGTCGAGGTTATACCCAGGAATACTTCGAACAGCTTGGACGACATCACTTGCGCTGGGACGCGCGTCCGGGTCACGCTGAAGACACCATTCTGCTAAGTCCGCGATCTCACTGGGGCAAGTGGGCGATAGATTGGGCTTCAAGTGACCTGACACGATGTGTTGTAGCACTTGCAGTGGTGGCATTCGACTGCCGCGAGCTGTTAAAGCGGAAGAGAACGGCGATCGATGCGTATCCAACTCAGCTATTACAACACCAAGCGAATAAATGTCAGCTTTTCGTGAAGGTGCCCCACCCGCCAATACCTCCGGAGCTGTCCAAAATGGCGTGTTAGGCCGAGTAGACTGCGCCTTCTCCAGCTGATTATCACTACGGTAGCCGACAACTCCAAAACCAGTCAGCTTGGCGTCCAAATCAGCCGAAAGCAACACGTTTTTGGCTCTGAGATCACCGTGGATAATACGCTTTCGGTGCAAGTACACCAGACCCCGAGTAATATCCAAAAGGATCTGCATCTTCTCGTTCTTCCACGTCAACGAGAAGCTCATGAAATCTTCGTAAATTTCATTTTGATCCCGGTTTGGATTCGATTGTCGGAGATACTCCTGGAGATCTCCTAGTTCCAGATATTCCATCACAAGACACAGATTCCGCATCGAGCTCCACGCGACACCAACGAAACTCAAGATGCTCGGGTGTTGCAACAGCGCACTGAGTCGTATAGTCTTGATAAACGCGCGTACTTCATCCAGATTTTTCCGTTCCTCCTTGGATAATCGTTTGACAGCAACGCAGCGATCTCGCAGTACACAGAGCCACACTTCATGAGTGCCTCGGGCTATCAGATGATGGAATTGTAGGCGATCAAAGGGGATCTGCGCGTGCTTCAAGTGCGGATCATTCGTCAAAGTATTCAGTACATCGGAGTCCTTGGGGTTATCCGGTTTGGGACTTTCAGATGAATGACTTTCCGCTGTTCCAGTGTGCGATAATGTGAGAGGCGACGACGTTAATATCTGGATGCAGTCGTGTGGATTTCCGAAGATATCTTCTCTATCAATTAGCGGGTTCTTGTGAGGCTTTCGGGTTGCACGGCTGCTCTGAGTGCTGCTCTGGGTACTGCTCATACTTAACCGGTTTGCTCCTGAATTCTGCAGCTCGGCTTTTCGCTTCTCTGAACGTTGTCGTAGATACATGAAGACAGCAATACCGGTCACTATCAGTGCGGCTGCTCCTACAATCAATACTGGAATTGTATTCTGCCAGTGCCCTGACGTTGTATTGTGCTGTAATGAGGTGGCATTTGCGCTGTCATCGTTGTTGACATCGGTAATTGGACTGAAAACTGAGCTATTCGCTTCATTTTCTGCTGAATTTGAAGTCTCAAGGGTGGCCACGTACTCATTCAGCCACTTCGACATTAAAGAAGAACTCTGTGGACGACACCATCGATCGTCCGAGGCGCGATACTCGATGCATGGGATTGTTAGTGACGACAGTGAAGTTTTGGATGCACACAGATCTGCGTTTGACTCATCACTTGTTTGGATAGCAAACATAATTGCTGAACGACCCGCAGTGGCGTTACTCCACGTGTGACGCCGTATTATCGTCTCGGGTATCGTGCTGCTGTTTGAAGAGATCGTAGATAAATCGCCAGTCGCCCACACTGGAGCAATACTCGCCTTTGTCTTCACCGATGCACAAGAACATTGTACGATGTCGTTGAGCTGACTGGGTCCACAGTTCGAGGAGAAGCTTGAATAAATAGCTGTGGAGTCATCGGCCAAGCATTTCTGTATTTTGCAACCTGTATTTGTCACTTGTTGAGCCTTGAGAGAAAGGTTAGCCATTGTGTTGCTGGAATTGTTCGACACACAACGTGTGTAGACTTTAGCAAGCGATCCATTGTCGCCACGCGCATATCCACTGTCCCAAATTAATGCCTGCTGAAGAAGATCAGGAAGTGAGGTAAAGTTCAATCCAAACGGCTGAAGCTTCTCGCTGACTTCGTCTGGAATGGCTTGGCCAAGTAAAAACTGCTGATGAATATCGCCGTCTCTCGTGTTATGTTGCCTTGCTTGGTTTGTGTAGACCTGGTAATACACATCCACGAAATCCGTCGACCTAGAAACTGTTTGTTGAGGACACAGTAGGAAGCCCAATACTGTGATTACAGCGGCATGCTCAAGAAGTGATAGTGAACTGGGCATTGCTGGTTATACGTGAATGTCAGACGTTTCAACAGTGAGCAACCAGGCAGAGGGGTTGAGTCACCACTGGAGACATTCGTTGCTCAGTAGGCTGTCTCCATCTTTATCGAAATTCTTGAGCAGTGCGTCGTTCATACAGCAGAAACAAATGGTCGTAGACGACACTGTCTTGCCTTGTCAACGCGTTACAAATACTGACGACTGCGAGACCGCATTGTTGAGAACATCAACACTGACATCCGCTCCACGAAAAGGTTGAAAGAGGCATATTCATCGAACAAACAACACCGAAAACCGGCACAATCTGAACTGTAGAGCTCCTCACTACCATACGACTAGTAAAAAATAAGAAGAAGAACGCGTAACAAGCAACTTCACGACATAGTGATCGCTAAATTGCTTTCAAGAAATGGGTATCATCAAGTGCTAGTTGCTAACTAAGCACATTTCAGAAACTAAACGTACATGTAGGTAGTGCGTCATCTTCTTGATGAACACCTGGTAAGATACCACTGGCCACTCACTTGCGTGCAACTACGGTGAATCCAATAAACGGAATCAAACGTGGCTGTCCATCCGCAAACGGATCAGCACTATCCGTCTTCGCTCCTTCTTGGTAAAAGTTCTCCTGCGCGTCCTGCTCCATCAACTCGGTCAGAGTCTGCTCCATTTGCTCCTTCGTCAGTCTCTCCAAGAACTTGGTAGTAAATGGGTTGTTCATGTTTGCTTGAATCATCATCTTTGGGTCGTCAAACACAATGGTGTGCGTCGTGGAGAACGTCTTGACGTCTTTGAATCCGGCCTCTTGTAGCTCCTTCAAGATCCTCTTCTTGTCCGTACCAGCAACCAACGACGGAGGCTCCAAGGGTTTTCCTTCGCCCTCCGTGGCGTTAAACATGTCCGTGATCTTGTCGAACCAGATCATTTGCGAGCTCTTGTCGCTCCAGGTCGTGACGATCAGCAGACCGTCCTCTTTTAACACCCGATGCGCTGTTTTCCACCCTTTTGTGCGATTCGGGAAGATTCCCAAGCCAAAGTTGGATCCGATTGCATCCACTGATCCGTCGGCTATTTCCTCCAGCACCATTCCGTCGCATTGCAACGTGGTAAACTTGGGGGTGAACGGACTGAGTGTGGGGTCTTCCTTTAGCTTGTCAGTCAATTGCTGCAGCATTCCTTCGGATAAATCCGAAGCGGTGATGCTGATTTCCGTCGGGGCAGTGAGGTACCGACGTGCGAACTCGAAGCTGAGCACTCCAGGGCCACAACCGACGTCCAGGAAGTGGAACGGAGTGCCGGCGCTCTTGGCCTCGTGCTGCTGGAGCTTCTTCAGGATCTCATGATGCGCAATTTGCAGTGAATCCACCGCCCAGCGAGCAGTCAGTGTACTGAAGACGGAGCTGTACGCCTTGGCGTGTGCAGACCAATTGGCGTTCGTGAAGGCTTTTTCCATTGTTCTCCCTAAGGACTTGGGTGTCTGGTCACTTGGTCTCCAATTTGAAAATGATACCAAAGTCGTAAATTACGGTCGATTTGATAGGCCAAAAATGATGGCTTCAACTTCGTCAATAGGAATGCATGCTGTGGGGGTAATCAAATGAAATATAAACACTATCGTCGCCGTCGGCGAACGACAGCCTCCATGGAGGCAAAGTTACCATCGTGGCCATAGGCAAGATGCCGATCGATGCTTACAAATAGTTACGTATCACAGTTAACCCCATTTACAATTCTAGGAGTAAAGTTATCCATTTGGTCAAAAACTGAGTGAATATTTATAGGATTCGTATTGTTAGCCTGTATTCGTCTCGTCAACGCCTTATCAACGCCACGTTCGTGACGAATCGTGCTGCCTGGCTTTGCTTTTAGACTGGTGGCTGGTCGTTCCTGCTTCGCCACTCTTCCAGCTTCTAAGACCTGAATATTCTCACTTTTCGTCGTAATGAAAGAGCGCTTAGCTGAAATCCTGGCGCTGCGCAGTGTGGTCGATGCTCTTCAACAGGAAGACATGGTGCGAGTGCTGGGTGAAGTCACCATACTCTCCGATGAGTATTTGCCAATGCTCGCGTTTCTCATGGCTCCAGACAATTGTGAGATGGATGTATTTATGCAAAGATTTGATCTCGAGCTAACATGTCTGCCCTATATAACCCAGTGACGTGCCTGGTCAGTTCAATGCTCCAAGAACCTACACCAACAGCGAAGGCCACAGCAGCAGCAGCCCGACAGCCGGGAGAACCACCGTCATACGAGGAATACGCGACAGCATTTCGAGCTCATTGGGTATTATGTGTGTCAGGTTTCTCTCACCAATTATTAGCAGCTATGAGCGCTCTGAAGGGCGAACCTCGAGCTTTGATCGCCCACACTCTCGCCGAGTTCAATTCACGCGATAGCATGACTCTTGAGGCCTTTGCTCGGTTTATCACAGCCTTCATGGATCAATACTCACCGCAAATGTTCATGGCACTTTTTGACAAAAATATTCGACAGCAGAAAAATTTTCTCGAGTCGCTACTGTTGCTCGTATTTTATGAACCGTTGAGGGATGTCATGGTCCGATTGTGTAATGAACTACCGGGAACCGACTCGGAACCGGAAGTGGAGGCACTGGTTGGTATCTCGCTCCTCCAACTTTCTCCGATGAACCCCATCCAGCAGATTAGTGACCGCGTTTCGGAAAAAATTCACCAGCGCGTGGCAAAAGATATCGAGACTGTGCGATTTTCACGAATGGTCTTCACTTGCGACTTGCTGACTGATCTCATCCATGAGAAACGAGAAGGCAGTCTGGGATTTGCAATGACGATGTCACTTGGTGAATCTGGGTCAAATGCTGAGCAGTTGATTACAGCAGCTTTACGTGATCTACATGAACTCCCTACGTTGTTCGCGAATGAATCCTACGTCTTGAAAGTGCTGAACTCGCTGTTACAGCAAACTCAGTGTGGTTGTGTGACAAAAGCGGCTTTTTGTCGAGCTACCGCTGCTACACACGACGCTGAAGTTAAAGAAGGCGAAGATTCCGTCACTGCGGCGTGCACAGAAGGCAGTCCTCATGAAGATTTGCCGTTAGTTTGGCAAGTATTTCTATCGCACTTACCTACAGTGTTATCGTTCTTCTCATCGGAGACAACATCTCTACAGTGGCGATTTAAGCCCACCCACGTTCAACTTGTGTACCTCATGCTGCCAGTGCTGAATGTGTCGTGCACCGTAGCAGATACTCTGGTTATTCGTACCAAGACGCTCGATACTCTTCTCGAACTGATCACACGCTTCCCCAAAGCGTCAATCTTGCATTGCGCTATTGCCCGATTATTCATTGTCGCTCTTGAGGATTCTCCGTTCATGTTTGGCAAGGAATTACCGGCATTTCGCTCGTCTACAGATCCTCTACGTATCCACTTGCTTCTGGGAGGTGCGCTCGACTTTGTGTTACAGAGTTACGGCTGGACAACGATACCTGATGCTGCTGCACGGGAAGCCAAGAAGCCGTCACCGCCTCCTGCTTTCCTGGACATCGCTATCTCATTGGATCAAGCACTTACAAGCGCCTTTGCACATTCAGCTCAACTTTTCATGGGCAACTCAGCATTCGAGCGCTGGAAGGTCTTCCGTCTTGAAGTGCTTTTACCGATTCAAACACTTTGGGAAGAGCAGTACCAGCCACCACCGGCACCCGAAATGGGACCTTCACCGACGCTTACAGCGATGCTTTACGGAGAAGGTCACAGACAGCCGCAGGACGATTTACCAAGTGATACGAAACACCGGAAACAATCCACGGATGGTATAGTCCCTGCAACAATATCTGGTGAGGCTGCCAATGCGGAGATGCCTGGAGATTCGAAGCCTGGAGAAGGTTCCAGTACCTCAACAGAAGCGGGAAATGTTCAAACGCAACGAGAGGGAGGTCCATGCGTCTCGGTATTAGATTCACAATCAAGTTCGACCTCAGAAGCATCAGCAATAGCTGTGCACGACGTACCCACACCACTATCTGCGCTGTACAATGAAGAAGAGAAGCGTATGATGCTTAAAGTTAGCGATGATGATACAGTATCGTCGTCCCCTCCCATAGCTCTGGTGATGCCTGCTGCAGTACCACAGACGACATAGCTTCTGTTCCGAGTACCGTTAGATGCATCGGTAATGGATAATCAAACAGCGGGGCTGAGTTATCATAATATTGCGTTGGTCTCTTTCCAATTCTGCAGCACCGATATCTTAGAAGCCACTCGATAAGAACTGTTTCACCCGTATCAACTGTACTTGCATATAGTACATCGGTTAGACAACGTTTATGGCTGCTCTGGTGTTGATACTTTTTCGGGCAGAAAAGCAAATTGCTTGTCGTTTAGTAGAGTTCTGACTGAATTGTAGTTGTATTCAACCTCATAGTGGCAACTCAAAAATTTATTCATTTCTATGAAGATGCTGGCTTCTTGCTGTCTACCTTGTCACTATTTTCCACCTTCGTTTCCTCAGATTCAGTCTCTATAGCACCATCCTTCTCTTCCTTAAATGGCGTTTCCTCAGCCTCAAGCGTTTCCAGTAGTTGTCGAAGCTGCGTTTTCTGTGCTTCCTTGGCTTCATCATTCGCCACATCCTTGGCCTTCTTCGACGTATCTTGCTCACCCTCTTTCTTGACTTCGTCGTCGGCAACCAGGAGGTCCAACTGCTCCCGTAGCACACTCACAAGAGTGTCGTTGTCAATACTACGCTCATGGAACTTGACCATCACGTAGGCACGCAGTTTCTTCGAGAAACGACACAAATGTGCCACCACAAACGCGATCCTCTCCAGTACAAACAGACCAGCGTCCAGACGTCGTAAATACCGACTGTCCTCATCTTCATCTTCCTCCTCTTCGTCCAGCCCGCTGCGCTCCACTCGCTCGTGATATTTAGCAAACAGATCCACCAATCGATCCACCTTCTCCATGTCATTTTCCACAAACTTAGCGTGTAAACGGTCATAACCATCCGCCGGAGCATTCTCACGCACCCACGCGCACATGGAGGCCACCAAACTGGCCGCATTCTCTTCTTCCTTAGCCTTCTCACTCACCTTGCTCGCTTTCTTACTGCTACTTGCCTTGTACTTGCCGTGGCGTCCCATAAAGACTGAGAACACGCTACGCAATCCGCCAATCTCAATCAAGCGTTCGCAGTTACGGGCATTGCCCATAAGTGCGTGGTCCATTGCTCGCAACGCGCCACTAAACACGAACCGCTTTCTGTCTTTCATAAAGCGCAGCAGCAGCTCCAGTCCTTCCAAGCGACGGAACTGCGTCTGAGCTTCGGGGACGAGCAGCACACTACACAGCGCATTCACTAAGTTTCCCACAAGTTCCTCTTCTTCTTCACTGCCAGGGTCTTTCTTCCTGTACGGGGCCAATGCCTGGAGCAGATCGTCCATGAGATCCACCTTCGCTTTCTTCTCCTTATTCTTCATCTCACTCGGTGGGTCCTTCCCCATCCACGACACGAACTTTTCCCTCGGTTCTGCTCCAGATTGCAGTAGGATAGACAGGATTTCACTCGCGTACAGCTTGTTCTCACTAAATTTCCGTCCAGCCGACACTTGTTTCAATAGAAAAGGCAAGATCGACGTCTCCGCCACTTGGACACACACTTGTGGCTCTAGATCTGCCATATTTTCGAGAATCTGTAGAGAATTATAGATCCCTGTCGTCTCCTCTTCTGCCTGGGTATCTTCCGCATTGTCCACGGCCGCTGCCAATTGGTACAAATTGGTTACTAGCAGAGGTAGCAATTTCTCGTCCACCAAGTGCTTGGTAAGCATCCTAGCCGGCTCCAGAGACATCGCAGCGTCATCCACGTCCGTTACCTCGGCCAGTAGACTTAATACAGCCAGTCGGATATCAAGGTTATCGTGTGCGAACAGTCCGAGTAGCACGCGCGGTACCTGTAGCTCAATCATGACAGCGAAGAGCTCCGGCTTGGCTGCCACCTGCTTCCAGCGCGTCAGCTCGCCGTCCAGTGCCAGTTCAGATTCTAGAAACTTGGTCGGATCGTCCGCGTGCTTTTCGCGCGCCAAAGCGTTGCGGCGAACGTGTTTCTTGAGGGAATTGGCCATGGACTTAAGTGCTCGAGCGTCCAATGCGTCACCCTCCTGCGCTTCGGCGCCGTCCACGATCGCGCTGATCTTTGCGGCATCAGCTTCTGGAGATACACGAGCACGTTTTGCAGTGGGAGAAGAGGAGGAAGAGGCCGCGGGGCGCTTGGGAGCTGCCTCCGCAGACAGCACTCGGTCGAAGTGGCTCTCCATTTTGGATGTGGTGATAGGTATTGTATGGAGCAAGAATAGCTCAGCATGATTGGATGGATAAGATTAAGATATTTAGCCAATTAAATGAACAAACGGCTGGTACCATATCACGGGTACACTTTGTATGTTGTCCTACAACTTGTCGAACATGACGATGAAGGAGGAAGATGCGCGTCCGGGGGAGAAGCGCGGAAGGTTGTTGTGCAGTGGCGCCGTGTGTATACACGTCAGTAAGGAGAGTATGACGACACAGAAGGAGCTCATGGCAGGGAGAACACTGGAAGGTGCTGCGGATGTAGCACAACTGCAGCATTACGTGCAGGATTCGGTACGAATTAATTAGCGGATATCGCGTTCATAGTTAGAGTTTTCACTTATTTTATGCTGTTTTACTACAGGAGGCAAGTGTTGACACATCTAGTGAGGTGTATCGTTGTCTTTCATGCAAGTTTCGAGGCGTCCGGGAGCCATCGAAGCAGCAGATGCAGGAGATTGAAGACGGAGAGGACGACGGTAGCTTCATGGCGCACGCTATACTACACAACCATAATATTGGTGAGTAGATTCTACGTTTTTAGCATGGATTAAAGCTTATTGAAGGGTTTTGTTGTGGTTGCAGCTATAATGGAGAGAAAGAAGCAACTCTACTGCGCGACCTGTCGGGATTTCATCTACCCCGACGCAGCTGTGGGTGGCAGGAGACGGAGGAAGAGGCAAATCCAAGGAATGTCCACTCCTCACAAATTGTTACGACGTGGATTGGTGAATATGGGCAATACGTGCTTCATGAGCTCAGTTTTACAGGCCTTGGCGCATAATCCCATGCTGCAGCACTACTTTTTCGTGGCTAAGAGTCATGATACTACAATCTGCCAGCAGCAAAGACAGCGGTTGCTATTGAAACAAGAGAAAATGAAGGAGAACCAAGGCAGTGAAGATGATGGCGTAGAGCAAAATACAAAACGTGGACCGGATCCTGCGATCACTGTGTGTCTGGGCTGCGAACTTGCTGCATTCATGGCGCTTCTGGTCCCTCCTTCTGCCCATCTGCGTCATAAAGCATTAATGGCGTCCCCGATTGCACCTCAAGGGATACTAGAAGCGATGTGGAACGCGTTCCCGTCTTTTATTGGCACTGCACAACACGATGCCCATGAATTACTGATCGCTCTGCTTGGTGGACTTCACTCTCACACACATCCTCGAGTATTTATTCATGGAGGTGCCTCGCCAAGATTTACGCCACGTGGACACAGTTTATGCGACTGTGCGGTGCACCAACACTTCTCCGGTGTACTACGGTCTGAATTGGCTTGTGGAAATTGCGGCAATGCTTCCCATAAGTTTGATCCGTTCCTGGATGTGTCTTTATCACTAAATGACGAGAAGAACAAGAGCTCGAAAAGTGAAAAACGGGATGGGAAAGAAAACTCTGAGTCAACTACGACGACAATTGAGTCGTTGTTGCGTCAATTTGCAGCTGAAGAGGAGCTGCGAGGATCGAATCAAGTGTATTGCGTAAGGTGTTCCAACTACCAGACGCACTACAAGAGTCTGAACTTGCATACACTACCAAATGTCCTGGTATTCCACATCCGCCGGCTTGACTTCTACCGCCAACAGAAATTGCTGAAGACTGTTCAGTTCCCATTGACTGGACTTAATATGAGACCATTTACGTCCGTGGGGATTGATGAAGCCAGTGACCGTAAGAAGCGAGACAGCAAAAATGCTGAGAATGGGAGACCTGACGATCCAAGTGAATATGTATACGACCTTGTCGCGGTGGTGAATCACCATGGAGAGTCAGTGAATGGTGGCCATTACACTTCATTCGTGCGGGATGAAGGACAGCGGTGGATACTTTTCGACGACGTTGAAGTGAAGATTGTGCCAGCCGACGAAGTTGAAGCATCGCAAGCGTACGTTGTGCCAAATATTTTGCTTTCTGTATACGTCACCTAAGTGTTTAATTTGTTGCACAGATACCTTCTATACTATACTCGACGGAACCCGTATATCGCTGCATGAAGAAATGCAGCTTCACCCAAGTGCTCAACCTAGAATAGTTTTTCATCGCTCCGACTTCGTATTGACGGGTTACAGTTCGCACTCTGAAGTGATTATGAAGCGTAGTAATGGGGCTTGACGTTGCAACGCCGTTTTAGACCACGGGTATGTCGCGTTGTTCAGAAATGTAGAGCATTGATTAGCGGCGCAATCTAACAGGACGAGTTGATGTGGAAGCGGAAATAGCAAGAATGAGCTTACGAATTCAATGGAGCCGTACTGCATCGATATCGAGAGATCAATAGCTGGTACCAATGAGCGGGCCTGTGTATCTCCAGTCATGTTGAAACACAAGTGATGACGCTATAAGATTTACGCAAATTCACACTCACAACAAATACTCTACAAGTACATGTAGCTCTATCAAGCAGTCTTGATGCCGTCGTTGCCAGACACTATGGCTTCGAGAGCGCTAAGTAGCTGGTTCGATGGAGTAGCTGCGTTGTTACAGTCTCCAATACGGTGCAGACCAACAACCGAGTTGTCTCCGCGTGACATTACGGGAGCACCCGAACTCCCCACTTCCGTATCAGCAGAATAAGCGATAAGATGGTTGTATGTGACTCCTTGCACTGCGATTGAGTAGTCAAGATTGAGCACGAGAGCAGCTTGGGAATCAGCATCGTCTTGGGTTTTAGCAATCTTCTTTGCACCTCCCTTCGGGTGCTGAGGGATGTAGATTTGTTCACCTTTAGTCGGGGCGGTGTTACGAATCTGAAGATACCCGTAGGTTTTAACGTACGAGGCAGCGTCGTTGGTAATCTGCAGCACGGAGTAGTCGAGCGTAGCGTTGGATTTGATGAACTTTATATTGTCTTTGCCGACCAATGTCTTGCCAATGGGGCAAGTAGCAAACGCGCAGTCGTCGCTACAGCCAGTAGTCTGAACGTCAAACTCGAACTTGGCAGCGTCGACCATCTGCTGGCTCGAGAAGCAGTGATTGTTCGAGATGATGTGGCCCTGGTTACCCCAGAGCCAGGCTGTGCATGTGACAATAGCGTTGTCGTCCCGAGTACGCTGCGTGCGCATCACAGCCTTGGCCTTGGCAACCATGGTCTTATCTTCGTCACTGCCCGTTGAATAGCATACCATGTTCTTCATGGTATCAGCAGAGCCGCATATCGCTCTCTCCTCGTTTTCGACCGTCGATTCTTCAGATTCTGAATATGAATACCCAACCGAGTCCAAGACCATGGTCGAGTTGCTGACGGGTGAACATCCTTTGCTAGGAGGCACGAACTGCAGGATGAGTCCGCTTCCGGGGAGCGGGGTAGTGGTGATATCTGAGGACGGTGATGACACCGTTATCGCTCGAGACCCGTTAAGCGGTGAGACGATCAAGTGAGAACCTGAAGCGAGGTTGAGTGATGAAAAGCGGAGCCACATCGCACTGGCCGATTCCTGCGTGAAGCTCCATTGCTGGCGTTCGCAAGGCGAGTTGATCGTGTACCTCGATGAATCCAATGGTTTCCATGCACCCGTTGTGAACCCTCCATCGGCTACTGGAGTCGACGAAGAGCCTTCAGCGACGCACTGCAAGGCTGTAAATGCACAAACAATGGTAGCAGCAACTCGGACACCCATTGTTCGTTTGGCAAGCGGACTGAAAAACTACAAATGCTGGATTGAGCGGTGTAGTCAAGATCGAGTTGTCGTAGAGATCGAGTCTCTATTGCCAAACCATGTGCCCAATGCATCCAGCATTGAATTCCAGGCTCAGCCAGCCGCAAGGATTCTAGGTTGCCAAGTGATCACGACCAAGCTGAGCCCACGTGCTTAACCTGCTGGTTCATTGGTCGTCACTTCAAAACCCTGTATAAACCGAAATTAATCAAAACTGTTCTTGATTAAGTGCAACACTTGATCTTAAAAGAAGTTTACCGTCAGATCTGAAACTAAATAGTTTGACTGTGCGTTATGAAATGATTGCTACAGGAAAGGCTGACTAAGCTGTTTTCGCGAAATACTCTCGGTGGCGATGTTTGCTTACGAACATGCTAAGACTGCAGCTGGTGGGAAGAGCTCTATGGCCACAACACGCAGATGACAAAATGTTTGAGTCTAACTTTTGAGTGCCTTTGCATTAATCTCCACACAGACCTGCCAGAATCGAGACATACTGATCGCATCTTTGACTGTAGGATAGTAAGTGTTGATCGTTTGTAGCTCGTAGCTAATGTGAACTCCTATGGGCGGGATTCCATGCTTCAGCTGAATCCACCATCGGTTCGTGGATTCCTTGGCCGAAAAATGGCACCTTGAGCTAGTTTGACAGTGCCAGCACTAGCAGCGAATGGCAAAAGAAGAATGCGACACAGCACACGCCGAGGAGAATGGCGATCTTGTATTCTGTGCAACAGCAACAACCAAACAAATGTAAGGATCAAATAAGGTTATTTCAGTAGTACTGGACGTACCGAGCAACTCATCGATAGCGGCATCGCCAGTGTGCCAATTCACCTCCAGATCTGCTGAAATAGCCACCGAAAAGGCCACAAGGCCGGACAACAAGCAGAGCAGGCCGTTCCAGAAAAATCGGCTCGTCACCGAGCTGTGCAGTGCAAAGAGCCACGTGACTACAGAACTGGCCACCAGAGCGCCAATCGTCACCAGACCGTCCGACGAGTCAAAGCTAAACGATGCCAGATCCTGTGCAGCAAAAAAAAAAGTCAAGTAAGCACACAAAAATCCTGGGTACATCCAGTATTCCAACAGCCGGACTCACATTGAAGCCTGCCGACGGGCCATCCAGGAGCATCGCCGTCTTTGCATGAATAAATAGCAGGAGAATAAATAGCAGCGTTGTGGCCATCCAGAGATTCAGTCCCAAACCGACAGTGGCGCTCACCACGTTCTTTAAGCCACCAGTGACAATCTCCATTCCCGACTTGACAATGCCACCTTCCAGAGGAATCTCATGACGCAGAAGACTCTTGTCAGCGCCACCACTCACCAAGTGGAAAATAGATGACTGCTTGTCCGCTGACGGAGCGAAGCTCATACCAGTGATAGCGAACGAGTGCTGCTCCGTCGACTTGATTGTATACTGCTGCAGCGTGGACGCCAGGAACACCTTGATATCTCCAGTCACTGCAGCCGCGCACACAAACCGATCGTCTTGACTCACACACAGACTCGCCACTGGTTTTTCACCAGCGATAGCTGTTTCTTCTACCACCCACGTCCACTGCTCTTCATTCTCCTGCGCAATAGTCCCAGGCTTCCACTTGATCAAAATCGAGTCACCGCGTGCCGGTGTCAGCATCGTATACAGTCGACGTCCACTGTTTGAAAAGCGCACACAACGGAACACATGCTTACGTGGTCCCACAATGGGCTTGGTCGGCAGTCTCTGGAGTGCGATATCCAGCGCATCGTCCTTGGAAAACTTGCAGATCGGCGTCACTTCGGTGAGTCTCCATAGATGACACGACTGATCCTCCGAACTGGAAGCCACGAGGTTGCGATGCGAAAGATCCACATCGATATCGCGAATTCTCTTGGTATGACCACGATACTCCCTCGTTAGAGTGACCATGTTGGCTCCATTGATGACACAGTCGCCGAGCTTGGGCTGCTCTTCCGCCACTACGTTGGCATGTAGATCTCTCTCCTCTGGCACAGTCAGAGCTTTAGCAGAGCCCACAGCCTTTTCTGGCTTGGACGGGTCTCGACTGAGGCGCCAGATACGCACCACACCGTCTTCTCCGCCTGTTAAAATGGTGGAGTTACCCACAAAGCGGGCGCAGGTCTGCGAGCTGTCTTCTTCGTGGAAATCCGTACGGAATTTGACGAGCAGAGTGATGGTCTTCTCCTTTAGATCGAGCGCGTAGACCCAGCAGCCAGCGCTGACTGAGACGGCGATGAGCTGACCGTCGTGGGAGAACGCTACACCAGAGGCGAGTTCCAGACCTGTGTCAGCCGTAATCTCCTTGGTGAAGCCTGTCGGGTCCGTGTCCGAGAGCTGGTAGATGTCCTACAAGAGTGATTGTATTATAAATCAAAGGGTAAGTATTACAAACCAGGGGATCGGAAGAATGTGGAACGTACGACAGTGTTTTTGATGCCGGACTTGAGTGAGCCGCCACCGCCGCAGATGGCAAACAGGCTGCGGGCATATGACAGCCCCATGATCGGGTACTTGACCTGCATCGTGCGCTTCAGTCGCTTCAATTGCCTTGGAGTATCGTCGATCTGTTTTTTAGCCGCTTTAGCCACGCGGCGATGCGGAGGTCACTAAAGCGATATAACATAATGAGTGACAGGAATGCTTTATTTGTGGCTCAGGGGCTAGTATTGTGGTTGAAGTGGTCGTGTAAGATGCTTATATTCCGGAATATGTCGAACTTCCAGCATGTCTTCAAGCAAGCCGACGCGACCTACAGCTCCAAAGCAACCGATCAAAGTTGTGGCAGAAGTTGCGTTTGTTAAGCAAATTATCGTGGATAATCCGCATACCCAGAGGTGATAAATCTGCAAACGATCCATACAGGGCCATAATCGGAGACTAGCGAATGCCGAAGTATACTGGACGTGAATCTGAACGGCTAAAAGCCACAAGGCCACGCTTGTATCGTCCCCACCAATGCTTGCAAGACGTTCACGGTTCTTTCCAATGAATCGTACGCAGTCCATCGACAACAGATAATGCGGCCCTCCAGCGTACGGGAACAACTGTTCGAGCGGATAGTTATCCCTCGAAATGTAGTATGCGTTAGCTGGGTCTCGTATTGGCCAGATTGGTGCAGAGTGCAACGTATCCGGCAGATCACCAATGTAAAAGCCTTCACGCGGCAAGACCTCGAGATCTTCAACAAGTTTGTCAACCCTCACGAAATCGTCGTCGTCCGTGATCATGACGAATTCCGTTCGCGGTAATTCTGCAATTACCCACTCCAGGAACGCACTTACCTTCCCAGCAAGAAGCGAGTACTCGTCATCACACTCTAGTTCATCGGTTAGCAGGTCCCCATAAATGTCCCGTTCAAGCTCTACAGCCTCCAGAATCTGCTGGCGTTCAAGGTTGTCTGAAATGCTGTCCATGACTGGCGTACATCCAAGAAAGAAACGTTCACATGGGTAGGTAATCCGGTCGTGTTGGCCCACGTCTCTCGAATTGCTTGTCGTTGAGCGAAGTATTTCAATACAGCCGTTTTTATTCCGATTACCAGTCTCAGCTCGTCTGATGGAGATCCTTGAACGATAGTCGGCCGATTCACTAATGTGTTTTGGAAAGGAAGGTCTTCAGATTGAATACGCTGCATCCACTGTGAAATACTCAGATCTGGTGGGAAATTCTGGTCAGCGCGGATCTGCTCAAGTTGTTGTTTGATGTGTGCATCGAAGTCTTCAGCTCCGAGTATTTGGAAGGAGACTGGGCCAGTTTCGTGAAAACGAGCTCCGTTTTCTCCATCGGAGAAATACGCGCGGGCAACATAACTTCCATAAGGCAGATTTTGCCAGCGAATTCGCATTCCAATAGTCGACGAACATTTCTTCGCAACTCCGTTCAGCTCCACACAAATGAGCATGTTACCGTATCGCGACTTAAAACCATCCGAACTATTGGCACCAATAATGAACTTATGGGCAAGAGGCAGTGTCGTAGCTCCGCCATGACGAGGATACCAAACCGTGAGGTTTGTGACTGGGTCGTCACCATCTATCAAAGCGCAGGCTGCACGTGCAACCAGTACGAAGAACATCAAACACAATTTATATCCAAGTGTCATGATCGCCAGTTCTATCGATATCTGATTCTATATCTGATAACAAATCTTTTCGTCAAAAATATCTCTGTACGATGTTGTTGCTGTTGAGCTTGTGGGTTATTGTGCTGAGTGCAACTTCGAGTCAATTCCATACGCAACAACCGGATTTGCCGTCAGGTGGAGACCCTATTACCAATTTTCAAATCATTTACCCGGTTGCAGAAGCCATAGAGACGCTTCCCCTGGAGTTTCACGTCGAGATCGGTATCAAAACATTAGAGGACTACAAGACGTATATCGTTGATAAATTTCTGTGTGTCGAGCTCAATGAATCACTGAAGAAATGCAGCTTAATGGCAAATCCGAGTGTTATTTTTCACGATCTTCCGGATGGAAACTACACCGCGCTGGCTTTCATCACAGATATCCATAGTAATATTCAATATCACCAAACATCGGAAACGAAGTTTTCTGTTGTGAGCAAGGAGGCGTTCACCGAATATACTGCAGAGAGAAGTCGCGACGCAAAGGAATTAAGTCTGCTGGAGTGGGCTATGCTACAAGACAAAGTATTAGAGAAAACAGAGAAGGAACCGGTTGAAGATGTTCGAGCCACGCAAACGACACCAACAGTGAACGCGAGCGACATTTTTCTTGTGATCGGAGTGAAAACTTCGTTGGTGAAGAATTTCAAACTGCGACAAGCTATTCGCGGAACGTGGGCGAGTCAAAATGCCCTTCCTGCAGACGTTATGGTGTTCTTTATCGGCTGCGAACCTGACTTGTCTTATGTTCATGGTGCTGACGAACAACAGCAAATTCGAGACGCTATTAACCTGGAAAAACAGACGTACCGCGATTTGCTCATCGATGAGTTACGCTGCCAAGACTCATACGCTGACCTACCAAACAAAGTAAAAGAATTCCTACGCTTTGCCACACAGCAGTTTTTAGAGACACCATTTTTTATGATCGCCGACGATGATATTTATTTGAGAGTGGACAAGCTTACAGATGAATTGCGTGTAATGGATCGCTCGCAACCACTGTATATCGGGCAAGTTTGGGATTTAATCATTGGCCGCAGTCAAAAACCTGTGCGCGACACTACTGAGCGCTACTACATTTCAGAGGAATTGTACCCGCTGCACAGTTATCCTCCTTTCGCGTTTGGCCCACACTATTTACTATCGATAGACTGCGCACGTTTTATAGTCAAGAACAGCGGGAAATTGCGTGGCTTGAGCGCAATTGATGATGTCAGCGTTGCTCTGTGGTTAATGGCGATTCAGGTGTACGCGAGGCACACGTCTGCGTTTGCTAACCTACGACTTGAAGCTTGCAAAAATGGTCTGATCTCGCTTGCAGATTTATCATCGTACGGGATCCGGTCAATGCACGGCAACCTTTTCCAAAAACGAGATATGTGCTACGGGTTCGACCGAGCGTTGTGGCAAATGGGCACGACCATGTAGCTCTCTTGACAAATTTTGGATATTCAAACACTTGACCTCCCAGCTTTAAGCTACGAGCGTCATTTCGATGCTACATCGACGGTGCCACATCGACGATGCGTGATATACCGCCGATCGAGACATTGGCTTCCCATTTGGAGACTGTACAGACTGGCGTATGCACATGAGGATATTGCCGAATGCGTCAGTATCACCTCCGTGTGAAAACTCAACTTCCTAGATATTGCGCTGTTCACCTATGCCTATTCATTCATCTCAGACTAGAACACTTTTCACGAAGGCTCTGTTTTCACGCCTGCTGGTTACGATGTAATAAACGTATTAACGAGTTGAAGTTGAGACCTATTAATAGTTTCTCTAACACTCTTTCTTAAAAAAAAAAGTTTGGTCTTTTTTTTTGCAAAAATAAATCCTTCCATAATTTGGAATCAGATACGCTATTTTCTGAGAACGGTGTCTTTCACGGCCATGAGAAGATATCATGTGGCATTTTTGACGATCTGGAGTTTGTACGTCGGCTGCATTGCTGCAGCATCTCCACCTTCTACTCTTGAAGTGGGGCATCCGTTTCATCACGCTAAATTAGCACCCAGCAGTGGCATTGTCGAGAACCAGGAAGAAGATCCCATTTCCAAGTTTCGTGTCGTTTTCCCGGTAGACGGAGATGTCGAGACACTTCCTCTCGCATTCCGAGTCGACATTGAAGTGCAAAGCGTCAGTAGATACAGAGCGGAATATGGAGATAAATTACTCTGTGTCGAGCTGAACGCAACATGGCAAGAGTGCGGGTCGTTTGCCGAAGCAAGTATTGGATTCGACGGTCTCCCTACTGGGAGTTATTTCGCTCGGGCTTTCATTACCGATGAGCGAGGTATTGTCCGATACCGTGAAACTCCATCTCTCACGATTACAGTTGTGACAGATGAAGATTTTAATGTGTACAGTTCTGCAATGATGGAGCTGAATGGTGATAGTTCTCGAAATGGAGAAAGCCTTTTGAACTGGGCGACTTATCAGCAGATATTGGCAAGACTTTCAATACCAACTATTGGTGTAACTAAGTCGAGTGTTAATACTAACAAAACTCAACTAGTGATTGGAGTCAAGACAGCAGTGGTGGAGAATTTTGAATATCGACAAAGTATTCGCGAAACGTGGGCGAGTCCCAACGCTCTTCCACATGACGTGAAAGTGGTTTTTGTGGGTTGTACGCCAAACTTGGCTGACATTCAGAACAAGGATAAGCGAGAGAGGATTCAAGCTGCGATTAGTTTGGAAAAGCAAACGTACGCCGACTTACTAACTGATGAATTGGACTGCGAAGAATCTTCCGAAGACCTACCGAAGGTGAAGGGATTCCTACGCTTTGTCACGAACGCATTTTCACAGGCGCCCTTTGTTATGATTGCAAACGATGATATTTATCTCAGAGCTGACAGATTGGAACACGAGCTGCGCAGAGAGGACCATCTACAGCGACTTTATATCGGACAAGTGTGGAAAACACTCCATGACCGAACTCTAGAGGATTACTATCCATTGCACACGTATCCGTCATTTGCAATCGGACAGCACTATTTGCTCTCGATGGACTGCGCCCGCTTCATTGCCAAGAACAGTGGGAGATTGCACGGTTTAGGCGGTGCGGACGATATCAGTGTTGCGCTGTGGCTACTGACAATGCAAGTGCATGTGGAGAATACCGTGGCATTTTCAGGCTTAAGAACAGGAACATGCCAGAATAAGCTCATTTCGCTAGCAGATGTATCATCATTTGGGATTCGATTTATTCATGCTAATCTGGTTGACAAGCGCGCTTTGTGTGACGGGTTTGATGAGGTAGCTTGGCAAAGAAACAAAACTAATGCAGAAATCGACTCGCCCTCCCACTCGAGCTTTGCGTCTTTAGTTGAGATCCAGGCTTACGTGCACGACCTTGAAGATACTGAGTATTTACTTATCACGACTGTGGTTTCAACAAGGGGTACTGCTGGCGTCAAGGTGTCTTACCATCCATCGGCAGAAACATTTCGCGCCTACTCCAGGCGGGTTTGTTTAGAAGCGCGAATACTAATCCACAACACAAATCCAAAATCGTGGATGTGCCATGGCATAGCTCAAACGTTACGAACTCGGATCCAGGAACTGTTCCATCGTGTCGAGGCAATAGGATCTATTGGCCCAGGGTTTCTAGAGTTGTGGCGACACAACCTTTTCGTTGCCAATGAAGATGCTTCGCCGTTGATTGTTGGATATACAACCGAGTCTTCTTACGCGTCGGTTGTATTTGAGTGCATCTTCAAGGCCATTTTCGAGAGCCACACTCGCCCCATTTTGGTTGTGCCCGAAAAGGTATTGCGATTATATTATGGCAACAATCCTGACGTCTTCATCTTCTCGATTTTCGATGCTGACTGTGAACCAATGACCAACGATGGATGTCATGAAATGATCGCATACTACATGCAAGAGTACTTGTACCCTGTTGAAAAAGATAGAGCGTCGAAGGTTATGATGATATCTGGCGAGGCGATAGATACCAAAGAACTGGATGACCGAGTTCCTTTGCTGTCATCAGTATCAATCGTGCCACGACTGCAACATGTGTACTTGCCAGTAGTAAGCATCTCGTTTGCTGAACGACTGCGAAATAACCCGACGGAGTTACTTTCTTCAGCGTCGAGACCGCTAATCGATCCCAGTGAACGACGATTTTGTGCGTATCTGTACGCGCGTTGTGATCGACCCCATCGCGAGTATATGTTTGACTTGTTGAACGCTGTGGAGCCTGTCGACGCTCTCGGAATTTGCGCAGGTTCTTCAAGACCGCCAGACAAATCATACAAAGCATCACGTTACGCCAAATGGTTTAACGATGAAGCTGTAACGTCGTACAAGAACTATAAGTTTGTTGTAGCGTTCGAGAATTCGGCTGAACCAGGTTACGTGACAGAAAAGCTTGTAAATCCTTTGCTTGCGGGTAGTATTCCCATCTACCTGGGTAACTCGACGACGGCTTCACAACTGTTTAATCCTGACAGCTATATCGATTGTGGACACTTTGAGAAACTGGAAGATTGCGCTGCATTTGTGTTGGAAGTTCATAAATCGCCAAGGCTGTACGACCAGATGCGGCGAGAACCACCAATACGAAATATCACATTGTTTGATGAAGTATTTTCGTGGCATCCTTCGGTTCCGAGCCGAGCCATGGCAGACAAAGTGGCGAGAATGCTTCAACTAGACATTTAGTTCACACATATCTGAATATAATGAAATAATTTTCTGTTCTCTGGATTTTATATCCAGAGTCCTATTCAGGATCCGAGCAACGTACCAATGCGCCCATAATTAAATCCCCTTTGAATCGGATCAGGTACAAGTTGAATTTGCATTTTAAAAACCTCTTTGCTTATATATCCTGTAAATTTATGCGTGTTGACCCATCCAGGTCTAGGGTTCGTTCAAGCAACACTTACTACAGATAGTACTGTAGATATTAAAATATAATCTGCTATCGGGCTCATTCGAGCTACATGCAATAAAAATTACATTGTGGAAAACCGCGTGAAATCTTGTCGAGAATTTGAAGCTCTTCCAGCGAAATTTCAATCCTATTTTCGAGTTTTATCGTGAAAAGATCGCCAAATTCTCTCTGCGGCGATGAATGTCTTCATTTTGTGTTGTGATAGCCCAAGCATTAGTTTTAGCAACGGACGTAATGAGCTACATATTACTTCGACAGCAACAAATAATCAACCAACTAGCTTGGTGGATAGTTCTCGAGCAGAAAGAGTGCGAGCAAATACATATTAACTGAGGTTTACTTCATCTTCCTACATCGATGTATCCATTCTTATAAACTCCTTGAAATAGAAAAGCGCCAATAAAATCCAGAGCTTCTCCGGGCGCGAGCACGGCTTTGTTTGAGTGATACTTCTTGTAGTATCACTTCTGTATTATGTTGTACTACAACACAAGGTCATATTTCAGGCTAAACGGTCTGATTGGTTGGGATGGCATTCAGACGATAAAAAAACCATCAAAAAGTTGATGTTTTTTTTCGTCTGAATGCCATCCAACGACATGGTTTATTTGGGTTATTCTGAACCCAAATCAAAAAAAGTCAAATTGTGGGTCGTAATAAAATATGCTTGGATGCCAATCAGACTTCGTAAAAAAAAAAGTCTGATTCTGATGCCATTAGTCTGAGTGATGGTCAATAGGGTTACGGCTGGGTTACACGAATACTGGCCCACGTACTGGAGCAAAGGATGGCGTCTGCGACTCATGCGCGCGGCCACGACGTGATGATCACGTTCGGAGATTTCTCGCTAGAGGAAACGCAAAAGGCGTTGGAGGACGGTACGCACCTTCACTCTCTCCATTGACTGAGAGAAGACCCGGTTATGTATGGAGTTTGTAGGACTCACTTGAGCCTCTCGCAGCTGCTGCAGACATGAAGAACCCGCAGGAACAGGAGGCAAGTAAGGCCAAGGAGACTCCCAAGTCGTGGGCTGAGGCACTTGGAGCCCCCAAGACGCAGCCCACGACTGCATGGGGTGGGACTGTCGCTCCCTGGGCCGCTGCAACTGGTGTCAATGGAGCTGCGGAAACCAAAACAGTCAAGGATCCGGCCAAACCACTGCCGTTTGAGGAGGCAATTCAAAATACACTTAAGAGTCTGGACGTGTCGGCACCAGCCAAGGAGATGAAGAAACGGTGAGTGGAGAGAGCTGGAAGAAGTGGAACTGGAGCTAATGGTAAATGGTTTATGCTGCTGCAGAGGCTTAGTGAACCAGGGCAATACTTGCTTCCAGAACGTCATTATGCAGTCGGTGTTGGCTTGTCCGCCGTTCTTAAAGTGGGTTACACTGCTTGGAGCTGCTTAGGCTGAAGGGGGTACTAATACTGTAATTTGTTAACTCAGTCTATTGGCGGAGATTTCGACGTCGAGTCCTCCTACAGCGGAAATGCTGGCGAGTACGTCGACGTTCAAGGCGTGGCGTCATATGGTGGCGTTCGCACGAGAGTTTGAGGAGCCGACACTGGCACAATGTATGTGTTACAATTAGTTTTAAACAGTTTTTTTTTTTATTGCTAACGCATATCTGTTTGATTGAGTAGTGCAGCTGCAGGCTGCTAATGGCGAACGTAACCCCAACGATATGCATGGGAAGACCCCGCAGGCGATTCGAATCAGTGGCTATTTCATGGACGTGCTGAGCGCCTTCCAGAAGATGCGAGGTGAACAGGAAGACGCGCTCGAGTTCTTGGAGTTCGTTTTGGAGTATCTGCATACTGAGTACGAGAAGAGCGGCCTCGAGCTGCCTAGTTCATGCGAAAGGCAGACAAAACGCAGAGCTCAAACCGTGATTAAACAGGACGGAACTGATGCGGCATTCGAAAATGCTCAAGCGTTTGACGACGGCTGGGCAGAAGTCGGCAAGAAGGGCAAGAGCAGCGTGTTGCGTCAGAACCCTGTTGATACCACCAGATCGCCGATTAACTGGTTATTCAAGGGAGCACTACGCTCTGAGCTCAAACAGAGCGGCAAGAGACAGAGCTCCATTACCGTGGAGCCCTTCCACTGCTTACACTTGAACCTCGACTATGAAGCGCAGGATCCTTCGTTCGTTACAGGCGTGAACGGCTTAGCAAAGCCTCTTAGCGCTCCGATTACGATTGAAGACATGATCCGGAAGTCGTTTGCTGTTGAAGTGATCGAAGATGCCAACCAGATCCCCACGATGAAGAAGTTCACGACTGTCGAGTCGCTACCGGTAGTCTTGACTCTCAGTGTCAAGCGTTTTACGTACCATCCGGAGCAGGGACCTGTGAAGCTGCAGCAGTTTGTCAAGTATCCATCATTCCTGGAGTTCCCAACACAGTTCATGTCGACTACCTGTCGCGCCGAGAATGGAATGGATGTCCCCGGTGCTGCAGCTATCAGTGGCGCTGGGTTTTCCACGCCTCCGATGTACGAGCTATTTGCTGTGGTATCTCACTTAGGTAAATTCGTTGTGGGTGGCCACTACACGTGCGTATGTCGCGACAATAAGGACCAATGGTTCCGCTATGACGACGAGCACGTGACGTCCATCTCGGAGGCCACCGCACTCAGCGAGACCGCGTATCTGCTGCTCTACATCCGGACAAACAAGCGACCACCTCCTCCAGCACTGGCACCACCCTCTCCAGGTTCTTCGTTTATCAAGACAAAAGGCTCTAGCGGATCGAAACCGAAGCCTACGAACGGCAGTGTGAAGACTCAAGGTGGGAAAGTATGGAAGCAACCTGCCGCCGCCCCAGCACCACCTCCAGCACCTCGACCCATTCCAGGTATGTCTCCGAAGAAACAGGCTGAGGCCACAAAACCGAAGTCGAAGAAACAAGGGAAGAGAAAAGCATGAAAGAGTAGATAGCAGTCAGGGTAGAGACTGAGGGTGTGTGGATGACAAGCGAATCCTTAGATATGTTGAATTGCTTGGTCCCTTATTACACCTTGAAGTACTATCCGATCTTACGTATTCTGTCCCGTATAGTATATACTTCGAAGTAATAACGTTCTTATTTATGGAAGGGTATCTTCGAAAGATCGGGGGGGGATACTACAAATGGAGATTTTGACATTGTTCGTGCTATTGATCACTAACATCCTCTGGGTCCTGAGTTCTCCATTGCCGACCGATCCTACAATATCATGGGGATCAGACTATTGTAATGTAGGATCGATATGTACTGGTCATAGTGTGTCCTTGAATGAGGAGGATCCGTTAACGAGTTTCCGGCTTGTGAATCCAAAGGATGGAGCTGTGGACGTGCTACCGATTGAATTCAAATTCCTGATCAATGCGAGAAGTACAGAGGAGTACGAAGACTATTATGCAGACGCAAACGTTTGCGTGGAGCTAAATGGGCTGTGGACGAAGTGCAAAGCGCCCGGAAGTCCGCAGATCATCCTCCGATTGCTGCCGGAAGGCAACTACACGGCAGTAGCCTATATCACCGACAAGTCTGGCGAGGTTCGTTATCACACAGCCGAGAATGTTACATTCACAGTGTTGGATTCGACTACGTTCAACCTCTACTACGGAGAAATGGCGGAGGGGAGTCGAACAGAACAGCACTTCCCAAAAGACATCCATCTTTTGCAGTGGGCAGAGCTGTTGCAGCAAGAGGTGGGCGACGACGATGATATTGTGTTGCCGCGCTCTCATGTATCGCATACTAGCAGCCCTATGCTTGTGATTGGCGTCAAGACGGCGGTCGTGACGGGCTTTCCTCGCAGACAAGCCATTCGAGATACTTGGGCTAAGCCAGCCACGCTTCCCTTCGATGTGAAGGTTTTGTTTTTGGGCTGCGAGCCTGACCTGACAGATTTCAAGAATGAACATGACCGAAGGCGAATTTTACAGGCCATTGCAAAGGAGAGAGTTGTCTATAGAGACCTACTCACAGAGGAACTGGAGTGTACAGACTCGTACAGAGGTTTATCTGACAAGGTGAAGTCGTTCATGCACTTAGTTACAGCAGAATTCCCTGATACAAGGTTTATAATGCTTGCGGATGATGATATCTACCTGAAAATTGATCAACTGGCGGAGAATCTACGTCTAGAAAACAGGCCAAGGTTGTACTTTGGCGAAGTGTGGGCCGTGAGGTTTGCAAGCAAACAACAGCCAATTCGTGACGTCAACAGCCCGTATTATCTACCCAGCCATCAGTATTCGATGCGGGCTTTGCTTCCGTTTGCGGTAGGGCCCCACTACGTCGTCTCAATGGAAGGTGTACGCTTTATCTCCAAGAACTATTGGCGACTAAGCAGTATGAACGGCTTGGAAGACGTGAGCTCGGGATTTTGGCTTCGAACAATGCAAATTAATGCACTACACATGCCAGAATTCTCTAGCCTGCGTGCCTCCATGGTATGCGATGACACACTCCTTTCCTTTGCAGACTTGTCACCGTTAGGGATCCGCTCGATCCACGCGAACCTCGTTGATAACCGGAGCTTCTGCCACGACTTTCATTCCGTCATGTGGCATCGACACGTTCATTCGATCCCAAGTTTAAAAGAGTTACTGCAACAGCCAAGCCATGAGGCTGCAGAGCCTCTGGAAGTAGAATCGTTCCTCAGTAATACCAACTCTGATCAAGTGATTGTCATCGTCTCCACCCCCTCCAACGCTGGAATCAAGGCACAATTCCTACCATCCGTCGATTCGCTCGACGAGTTCGTCCAGACTATCTGCACTCAAGTCCAAGCCTCCCCAACCTGCACCAGAACACTTCACCATTACCTTCAGCATGCCACGTCAGCCGGAATATCAACTTTGCCAACCCCATGATAAATTTTTAGCTCATGCATATCAATTTAGACATTCCATACCCACTTCAAGTGAGGGAGTTTCAGCTATTTTTTGCCTCTTCGTCGCACCCCCATAGCCTCACTCGCCATCTCGCCCCCTACGCACCAACATGAGTCGCTCTGGAGGCTCCCGCGCGCCTGATGACCAGACGAAGCTCAAGAAGCAGCTCAATGAGCTCATGAAGCTCGAGGAGAACAAGTTCTGCGCCGACTGCGGCTGTCGTGGGCCTCGCTGGGCCTCCATCAACCTGGGCGTCTTCATCTGCATCGCATGTTCGGGTATCCACCGCAGTCTTGGCGTCCACTTGACCTTCGTACGCAGCGTCAATTTGGACTCGTGGACGACGGATCAAGTGCAGCAGATGCAGCGCTGGGGCAACGCGCGAGCCAAGGGCTACTACGAGGCGAATGTGCCCCGGGATTACCGTATCCCAACGGAACATTCGTCTGTTAGGGACAAGGAGATGTGGATTAGGGACAAGTACGAGCGTAAACGCTTCGTGGGCGAAGCTCCAAGGGAGAATGAAGACCGCGGAGCGCGTAGGAAGAAGCACAGCAGCTCCGAGGAAGAGGAAGAGCCACGTCAGAGACGTAAAGATAAGGAACGCACGAGCTCGCGTCATGGATCTCGTACTTCTTCAAGAGAGGCGACACCCACGCAACCAGCAGTGACGCAGGATATCCTGTCGTTCGACGTATTCAGTGCCCCCGTGCCGGAGTCTAAACCTGCTGCTAGTTTAGTGGACGCTGCACCTGTTGCTGCCGCTCCGAAGCAGGACGAATGGGCTTCTTTTGGAGGATCTAGCAATGCCCAGTCCGGATTCAAGGACGCCTTTGCCCCGCAACCTCCGGCGCCTGCAGACCAACATGTGAACAAGATGGCCAACATCATGGCAAGCTTCGGATCGTCGACGCAGCCTCAACAGCAACAGAACGCGTTCCCTCCTCAGCAGGGAATGGCGCCGGCGCCTATGATGGGAATGCAAATGAACGGAATGAATGCGATGAACGGGATGAACATGATGGCACCTCGACCTATGGGGATGAATATGCCTGTGAGTATGCCTATGGGTGGGCAAGGATTCATGAACCCCATGATGGGACAGCCCAATATGATGGGATACCCGCCCATGCAGAACCAAATGTTTGGAGCTCCTCAACAGAACGGCATGATGATGGGTACGTGATGTTTAATATTTTGATTATGGTGAGGAGTATTAACTTTGAGGTGTCTGTAGGTGGCGCTCCGCAGATGGGATTCCAGGGCCAACCGATGGGGATGAACCCGATGGGCATGCAGATGAACCAGGGATTTCAGCAGCAACAGCAACAGCAACAGCAACAGCAACAGCAGCAGCAGCAGCACCAGGGAGGATTCCAACAGCAACAGCGACCGCCACAACAGCAAGCAGGGGGACTGAACCAGTCGTTTGTTAACTTTGGTTAGGAACGTCGAGGTCGAATGGTGTTCGATCTTCCATCTTTCTCCATAGAGCAATGACAGTCAGACTCTCCTCCTACCGGTCGATATCGAAATGCAATGGGAATAAATACATACACGTTTACTTCTAAAGCTGCATTATTTAACCTACAGTTAGCGTGCTTGATGCAGGTTTTAGATACTTGGCTTCCATAACAAGCTGCACCATTTTCTTGCTTGGTATGATCCCTTCATCGCTCTCCTGTGTCATCAAGTCGAACAACTCGAATCTTTCGCCGGTCGTAAACTCCAGATCGTTGGCAGCAAGACATCGTGCGAAGCCCTCCGAGTCCAGAGCTCCAGCCGATTCTATCGTCTTCACCACTTCTTGTAATTGCATATCGAAAACCAATTGCCACGCTGCCAACGCCATATGAAGAAATTCTTCGAGATCAATAGTTTTCTCGTCTAGACTGTGACGATACACTTTCTCTCGAAACAAGGTGAAGTGCTTACTTAGCTGCATGGTAGGCGGGAATGCTTGTTTGCAGGTTTCAAGAGCTAGTGACGTTGGGATTGTTCGAGGATTGCTAGGTTCACCATCTCCAATACATTCTGTCCATATTGTGATCAACGCAGAGTACGCCAGTGGCTGAGACTGTGGCGATATTGGGGACGAGATACTCGTGATCGAGTTGGATCGAGCTGCTTTTTTGGCTGCGGACAGGTTCAAGATACACTTGATAAGTTTCTGGAAGAATACGAAGGCGTAGTCTTTCGACTGTACTCGTGACTTATCGGCGCCGAAAAACCAGCTAAAAAGTTCACAGCGAACGTGGTTGTCCTTGGCAGTATAGTGGAGTAAAGAACGCTCGAGTTGCAACGTGTGCATGACAGCGATCGATTTGATGCCATATTTGCGCACCAAATAATCCTTCGCGAGCATCTTGAATGTTCTAGATCCTGCATCTTGTTTCAAAAACTCAAATCGATCTTCAAACATGAGCGACACGGCTCCACTTTGAGCTTTCAAAGGTTCCACTGCGTCTCTCGAGAACTGTAAATGAAGAATAGCTGACAAAAGATGGCACACTTCAGCGAGAGGGAAGACGTGAATAAAGGCGCTCGATTTACGCGGCGCGTCCAAGCGAGTGTTGAAGTTGATGGCATTCTTCCGACGCCCCGAAGGTGCTGATAATGGACGCTTCAAGGTCGATTTACGACGCGGTACTGGCGTTTTTACCTCTTCAATTTGCTCCGGTTCAGAAGGAGGTGCGGGGACTATTTGATCCTCTTTAATTGCTTCTTTTTCAATCAACTTATGTCGGCCACAAGTGCATTCACACTCGACATTCTGTGGTTTCTTTCGCATCATTTCATGGCCCTTTTTCAAACGCTTCACTGGGCATTCAAATCTTCGAAGTCGCTCTAATATTTGGTCTGGAAACAAGGCTTTATGCTTCGGTTCAAAAAATGAAACCTCGGTAGCGAAGTCTTCCACTAGCTCCACCAATTCGTGTACCCTTTTTCCAATTCTTGCCTCTTCAGAGTGAAACAGCGCCACTGAAGCAGAACAATTGAGCTTGGTCTCGGGATCAGCTTCCTGTGGTTGCATCTGTAACAATTCATGGAGATCATCGACTAAAATCTGATAACGTTTATCGTCATTCAGTTCATCTCGTTCATGTAAAGTATCTTGAAGTTCACTCGGTGTGACGTAGTCGAAACATTCTCGTAAGAACTTTCTCCTTTCTTGTCCCTTCATATCTCCAATAGTAGAGGCTAACAGGTCGGACAGCTTCGGCATATCACGCTCCACTGCGTTTTCCAGTAGTAAAGACAGCAGTTGTCTCGCGTCGGTATCCGAAATTTCGGCAAAAACTCCCAGCACTTCTTCACGCATTGATTCCACACCCAAATCTCCTAACCGAATCACGGGAGGGATGTAGTATTCGTCGAGTTTATCCCGCCGTGAAGGACTTGGAACAGCAACTACAATAGAGTTGGCACTTCGAGCTTCTTGAAGCATTTCTTTAAGCAGTTGAATCTCGTTTTTACTTGCATCAACCGAGGTTTGAACATTTTTACACTGCATTTTCTGGATCATCAGCTCCTGAAACCAAGGCTTCCCATGCTGAAACAAGAGAGCAGAACGATGTTGTGTTTGCTCCTTCTGGAGATCCGTGAAGTTTGAGTACACTGCTGCCCCTAACTCTTCAATAATTTTCGCAAGAAAAGGATAATCTTCTTCAAGATCAGACCCAATTTGAGTTAGACAGCTAAACGCTACAGCCGATACAAATGCGTTAGGGCGTGGCATTCTGCTGGCCAAGGCTTTGGCTTGCTTGAACATAGCCTCACAAAACAACGCTGAAGAACGAAAATTGAGTTGTTCTTCTCCCCACATTTCGAGAAGAGCCTGGAGTTTCACCTGCATGGCCGTCGAGTCTGCTTCTTGCAGTACTCCCATCTCTGAAGGCGACAAACACGCTTCGCAAGTATCCGACGTTGAGCTTTGCATGGGAAATGCGATCGTCTCGACTTGCATGTATCGTGCTTTACTGGCACTAGTTGGACGAGCAGGGCGAGCTGAACTCGGACGCGGTGACGTCTGTGCCATTCGACTGCTTGAAGTAGAAGCCACTTGTGACGCCGAAAGAGGTCGTTTCGGTCGAGTAGTAGAGGGGTCTTGGGCGAGTTTGGCCGTTCGAGGACTCGCTCGAACGGAGGCAGCGTATGGCGAATGCATTGTCGACCATGTAGGATGTGGTTTGCGTGCTTTCGGACGGGGTGGACGTCCATTAATTGACGTTTGAGCCATGGTCTCCGTTCAGGAATGGAGAACGAATTCTAGAGTTCTGTCTCTAATTTTACGGCAGAACATTGAGAACGAAACGGTGAGTTTGATCGAGTGCAAAACTTGAAACTAGTTGGAGATGGCGGCGGCGTTGTTGCAGTACCAGGCATGTCTGGGCATTATGGTCCGACTACAGGTGGAGGACTTGACTCTGCTTAAAGACGACTTCGATCGGGCTGGTCGAGGACTTTCATTGCGTGAATTCGTGAACGTTATGCTGGATCGTGTTAGTTGGGAACCGGAGAGCGTTGTGAGCTTCATTGAAGATCTGATTGAACTGTTCGCTCAAGTTGATGTGAATGGTGACGGGACGATGGAATGGGAGGAATTCACTAGTGCTATCATCGAAGGAGGAATGGGCTCATCGGGTGGAGGCACCGATGATGTTGCTGGGACGGTGGCTCAGTTGAGAGATCTGCAGTACGAGGAGCACCCTCGATTCGTAGATACAGCGGTCAATCGTCCTCCTAAGAGGATTGAGTATCTACCGGAGTGTCGTAGGGTTTTACTGCTCGAAAGTTCACGTCCAGTAGTGGAAATATTGGACCCTACAGGATTATTTCCTCCTGAGAGCGAAGACAATGGTAAGGATGCTGGGCCAACTTCTGGGGAGAAAGATTCGAACACAGACTCGCATACTGAGGACTCGATAGCTTCGACGTTCTCATTTACGCCTACATTGCCCGTAGTTAACAAGTTTCATCCTCTATGTTACGTCTCGGGTTACCGACGCGACCAGGATGAAGTGCGGTCAGAAAGATCTCCAGTTCAGGCTCTCAAATATTTAGCTGGTTTAGATTTACTCGCAGTCTCTGCTGGAGATCTCAAGTTGACATTCTGGTCCTCGACTTTACTTACAGCGTGCAGTACAAGTGCAATGGAAACGCCTCGACCAATGGCAATCGTGCACACTCCGCGCCCTCAACGTGTACTCGAGTGGAGCGCCAATACTCAACAACTCTTCTCCATCTCAGCAGACTTGATGGTCTCAGTATACCACGTCACCAGATCTAATGTCATTAATGCAAAGAACCGTGGAGAATCGAGTGATGGCACGTGTGAAGTCCGTCTTGTGGCAACGCTAAAGAAACACACAGATTTACTCCAAGACTTACTGCTTCTTAACGACGACACTCTGTTATCGTGTGGCATGGACAATATGATCTACCTTTGGGATACACATACGCTACAGACTCGCGCTTTTCGTCAGGGTCATCGTCGTGGTGTACGGTTATTGGTAAAGCTGTCGTCACAGGTGTTTATGAGTGCGGGATTCGAGTGTGAGGTCTTTGGATGGGAGATTTCAGCCTTAGCGACCACTCCAGTCTTCCGTCTTTCAGGTCACGGCGCACCTGTATGTTGTATCCAACTGATCCCCTCCGCTGCCTATGCTGCAGCCTCTGCTTTGTTGAAGAATACAAAATCTGGACTCTCCAGTATTAGAATGTTAGCGGATCAATGTATCACTGTGGACGATGAAGGCTGGTTCCGATGGTGGACGCTAGCCAATGTGCTATCAGTTGAGAGTACAGACGCAGAATTGAGTAGCAGTCGACGATGTTTACAGGTTTTTAGGCTGGGTAGCGACCTGAGTCGGTACCCGTGGAAAGCGCACTCGTTGGCGGTACTTAATAACGGTCAGAGTTTGTTAGTCGCTGGAGCGCACAAGGTTAAACTACTTCGACGTGTCCGTATTAAACCACGAGTACTCGCAGCGAGTGCAGTGTTATTTAACGAGGCCTCTTTAACGATTGCGACTGCTACTGATCGAGAGATTCGAGTTTGGGACGCTGCTTCTGGTTCTTTGCTACGTTCATACCGGGGACTTGTGGGTGCAGATATTACGTGCGTAGATTTGGATTCAAGACAGAGAAAGGTAATAGTTGGAGCACAGAATGGAGAACTTGCGGTGGTTAACTACTTAAACGGAGCTGTGTTGGGGAGATGGACGCCTCATGGACAGCAGGTATCGGCTCTGCTTTACTGTAAAGAAGACCATACAGTTCTTACGGCGTCGTGGGATCGATCACTGCGTCTGTATGACGACGATGCACCGAAAGCAGGAGGAATTGCAGCTCAAAACGTGCTGCTACGTTGTATAACTGACGCTCACGACAGCGACATCAAGTGTTTAGCATACTGTCACGCTCTAAGTCTCGTTGCCAGTGGTGGAACTGACGGTGTGATCAAGATATGGGACTATATCTACTTCCTTCTTGAGGACACATGCACACCACCTGCTCCAACCGGAGCCTCATTCAACACATCTACACATGGAGCATTGACAACCAGCGAAGTGAATGTACTCGAGTTTATTGAGCCCTATCCTTTGCTCCTTTCGGGTCATGAAAGTGGACAAGTGTGTATATGGAGCTTGACTCCTTCTAAGCCTACGGTTCTTCTCCTGTGCTTTTACCCGTTCCACATGTCACCCGCCCGACCACCGGTACCCTTAGAGATTCCACCAGTTCCTGCTGAAGAATCTGAAGCTTTAAAGAACGATACATTGAACAACCCCGACGCCCAAAATGATGACAATCGTCCTGCATCGGATACTTTAATTTCTGTAGAAGTCCCAGCTCCTTCGTCTCCTCTGACGCTTGCCAAACTGAATAGTGCGGTCACTTGTTGTCGAACGTTTTACGACGAGACTGGAGGTGAGCAATTAGCGGCAGGAATCGACCGCGGTAGATTTTTACTGTTCGTTTCGAGTTTCTACGGTGAGGTGGTGGTGTGTGATATTTCCAAACTGATCGCTGCTGCACATGTCCGAGCTTTTCGAGAAAAGAACATGCCGTCTAGACAAGATCGATCGTACAATCCACGCCGTCGCTTTCTTAGACAAGGCAAGAACGCCAAACGACTTCGCAATAAACACGTGGATAGCAGTGCTGCAGGAAATTCAGAATCTAAGCAGCTTCACGTGGACGAATCGGACGTGGTGTGTACACATCGATGGACTGCTCATCGGGGCAATGTACGAAGCTTGCAAATTGTTGCCGAACCTCGTGGCGTGTTGACTTGTGGTAGTGATAAAGGGGTGTACGTCTGGGACTTCCAAGGTAGACGAATGGGTAGTTTGGCCACAGGAATGGCTCCTCCACAGCAACCAATTGAGAAGAATACAGTGACAAGCTCTGGATTGGATAGCAATGTTTGGCGTTGGGAAGTGGATGTTGCGAGTGCTGCAGCGTATAAACGAAAGCAGGCTGAGCAAATTTGGGGTGAATTGAAAGCCACTAAACTCAAGACGTTAGAGTTGAAGCAACAGTCCATAACTATAGCCAGTCGTGAACGGAAACGAAGCAGGATGCTCAGTAGTGTGAGCGTACCCGTTCTCAGTCAATCTTCACGTAACTCAAGTACTCGAGAGTTGACTACGAGTGTATCGACAAGTGCTATTGCGTTGGCGACACAAGAGAATAAGATTGATACTCCACCGGATGAACAACAGCCAGAGGAGAATCATGCAACAGATCATACTCGAAGGCTCTTCGACCAGCTACAGGGCAAGACAACGTGGAAGAAGAGCGATCTTCAGTTGGCAAGACAAGCAGCATGGGAGAAGGAACGAGTCAAGTTCCAGCAGCGTATGAAGATGATCATGAAGAAGAAAGCAGCCAAGAGAAAGAAGGAGGAACAGAGCTCTACAGATGGCAACCAGCATGAAGATAAAGTTTCAGGTCATGGAGATGTCAGTGATTCACTTGGCAAGCTCGAGGTGCTGGGAGCAGGAGATGCTGATGATCCACACATGATCCTGCCTACTCTACAAAACCCCGTTCAAGAACTCCCTTTCGCTGATAAGGACAATTGGGCTGTGGGAAGTTTGAACCGGGAGAAGCAAATGTACGAACATTTCCATCGTGAAAACGTTCGTCGCACTAACAAGCAGATAGCGGGAAGTAGCGGACTCTTACGACAAAGGCGGCTAGAGAACTCACTCGCGACGATGGATCTGACACCGTCAGCGTTCCTTCTCGAGAAACTCGGTGTGAGCTGTATAATTCGTGAAAATGTAGATCAGGAGATACCCAATCGACGTAAAGTAGCCAAGAAAAAGCCTCGCCCAAAGCGTGCTACAGCACTCACGAGAGCTCGTTCCTTGGCTTCATTACCAGATCGACCCAACTTAAGCGTTAACCAGGGCGCTCCGACACTAACGTCAAGCATCAGCACAAGTGCATTAAAGCGGCGCAGCATCCTGTCAACGCTCTACAAGCAGTACGATGAGTTGCTTGGCAACGATCACGACAATAACAGTCCACTCGCAATTGAGGCCCAACCAACTCCTGATAATACAGAATCACCTGCCATCCCTGACGAAGAAACTCTAACTGCAACAGAAACGATGAATATGATCAAAGCTGAACCACTTCCAGTGAGTCCTATTCCTACGCAAGACCAGCAATCAAGCCCGAAGCCTGTTCGTCGGCATCCAAAGTCAGCGCTCACGACATCAGATCGCGGTATAAAGCTCCGTCAAAACACGCCTTTATCCAGCTCAGCTGGAGCTGTTCGCTCTCCAGCAAAGTTTCAATCACCCAAAAAAGAGCTCAAATCGGCCAAGAAGGTGCGTATCCGCTCGGACGCGGCGCTTATGCGGCAGGAACGCTTCGGTCAGTACTCGCGCGATGATATCGTCAATATATACCGCACGTTCCGTAAGCTGGATCAAGATGGGAGTGGCGCCATTACGATACGTGAAATAGTGGGCGGTAGTGGACTCTTCTCTGGGACTCATATGCAGGACAACATTGGCAGTATCTTCAGCAGCATCGACAAGGATCAAAGTGGACTTATCGACCTCGCGGAGCTTTGTACTGTTGTGTTCGGAGACGCCCCTCCCGAAGTTCTAGAGGAAATTCTGCGCTTGTGTAGACTATTGGAAACTGTCGAGAAGAACCGACGCGCGAGGAAGAAGACGCTGACCGCTGAGCAAGTACAGGAGCTCCAACAGCTCTTTAGGGTAAGTCAAGTGGAAGTTGCCTTTTTCACAGTCACAGATTTTCGATTACTAAAATCCTGTTGTGCTGTTAGCTCTACGACACGGACAATAATGGTGACATCGATGCTAGCGAATTGTTCGAGGCTCTACGTTATAATGACCGGTTCTATGAGAGTGATCGTCGTGGATCGACACAGCTTACGAAGGAGGACGTCGCACGTATTATTTCGTCTTTCGATGTGAACGCTAACGCCACTCTCGATCTACAAGAGTTCATTGAACTGTTCCGTGAGGACGCCTAGGAATCAGTGAATCTGTAAATCTGTAATTAAGGGCGTAATTCTCGTTTAGTTTCTTCTATGTCCTTTTGGGAAAGCATATTGTTTTTGTTTTTTTACTTAGTACATGTATATGTTCTCAAATTAAGTCGAGTCGAGTCACAAGAAAACCACATAGCAAACAAAGTTTCTCCAATGCTATCGCAGAAGAAGAGAAAGGAGAGGGGGTCAACATCGACACTGATTCGGTGGGTTGCGATGGCTTACAAGAGGAAAAGGCTCCTGCTGCTTGTGTCAAGAGAAGCGATGTTGCCGTTGTAATCAAACACAAACTGCCAGATCTTCCATTTTGAAAGCAATACGAAGGCGGCGAGCTCTATTTTGTTCGCACGTGTTATGATGACTACTACCTGAAGGTGGCAGCTCTGCTGAGAGAAGAAGAAGCGTTTCGTGACAATGACGGATACTCCAGGCGAGGAATTAGTGAAGAACCAACATCTATGGACTGATAGTAAAGTGAATCATACTGTTGTGTCGCTACCAATGAAAATGTAGAAGTAAGATGTATTGAGTTTTTGGTAATATTCCTATTCACTCTTGTTTCCTATTCATGCTCCATCGGTTGCACAACTGCCGTGTTGCAGTTGCACGTTGCCAACTTCTGGAGTACTGCTGTTGCTGGGCACGATCCCAGTAACGGCAGTGCTCTGTAGCTACTGCTACAACACATACTTACTGCAGGAATCGGGAGATCGATCTTCTACACCTATTTCTTGGAGCGTTTTAAGAAGGCCCACTCAAACTGGACTATTGTGGCGTCCTCGTGTACATCGGAAGGAAACGTCACAGAGATCGATGTGTTTGAGCCGAATAAGGCAAAAATTGCAGTTTTCTGGGGGCACTTCCAGACGTTGAACGCGTTGTGGGATTAAAGGTATTGAGGTTCAATCTCAGCGATGAGATAACGTGGAATCAAGTGCCTGAAAATATACTTTGGCTGTACGATGGCCCACCAAAGGTAGCTCGCCACCAAGCAGTTGTGTTTACAAACCCAAACGAGAGATGGTTGAACGAATCAAGAAAGGTTGCTTGCACTTACTACATGCCTCCCATTAAACAACAACAGTATATTGTTTTGTTTAAAAGCTTACTTTGAAGTAATACATGTATTACCTACCAGTACCAGTTTGATTGTATGATGCAGTGTGTTTAATTGAGTAACTTACATTTTTTTTAGGATTTTCTTATCCTTGTTCTCAGTAAACTCAAATTCTATACTGTTTATAATTTTTTGCACATCGTTTGTGATGGTCGCTAGCCTATGAATGCCCACATCTGGTCCCTCCTGAACCTTCATTGGTGGTGGAAGTTGGCTTTCAAGTGCTACGTCTAAGCATCTACGGCATCCCATCATGAGTCGGTGCCATTGTGCCATTTGACATCCGCCATGCGCAGCAGTATCTCCACTCTCTGTAGTCGCGGGTCCTCCGCACGCTCCACGCTTTTCGGAACTCGCTCCTTTAGCTTGTCAGATTCTCGCCGGGGCTCCTACTCCACGACTGGTTCGGTCGATCTCCTGGCTTCCGTTGGCAACACGCCACTACTAGAGCTCACTACTTTGTCCAAGCTTACTGGCTGCAAGCTTCTAGCCAAGGCTGAGTATACCAACCCCAGCGGAAGTATCAAGGATCGTGTGGCCAAGTCGTTGATCCAGGACGCCGAAGAGCGCGGTCTACTTAAGCCTGGAGGCACGATCATTGAAGCTACAGGAGGAAGTACTGGAGTATCACTCGCATTGCTTGGAGCTTCACGAGGTTACAAGACACTGTTGACTATGCCTGATATCACTGCAAAGGAGAAGGTGCAGATGATGAAGACTATGGGCGCTCATGTGCATATCCTGCCCACGACGTCAATGTCGGACAAGGAGAACCACTTCTTCCACGTTGCTCGTCGTCTTGCAGAGACGACGCCGAACGCGTATTGTCCGAACCAGTTTGATAATACTGCGAATTTGATGGCGCATTACGAGGGAACAGCGCCCGAGATCTGGAACCAAGTGGGTGGAGAGATCGACGGGTTTGTGACGTCCGCGGGGACGTCGGGAACTATTGCTGGCATGTCGAGGTTCTTCAAGGAGAAGAAGCCGGATGTCAAGGTCTGGCTTATTGATCCAGAGGAGACGGCAGCTATGTCGGCATTTATCAACAATGAGAGGTCAACAAGCACAATTGAAGATGGTTTTGAGGTAGTACCGATGGCCAAGGGTGTCACAATTGCAGAGGGTGTAGCAGCGTTGTCACGTGTGACTCAGAACCTGCGAGAGTCGATTGTCGACCAGGGAATTACTGCGAATAACCAGGAGATCGTGGACATGGCCTACTTCCTGCTTCGTAACGACGGCATTTTCGTTGGACCAAGCAGTGCGCTGAACGTGCTCGGCGCGGTGAAGATGGCACGTGAGCTTGGCCCCGGACACACAATCGTAACGATCTTGGCTGACGGGGGCGTGCGCTACGGCAGCAAATTGTACAATGAAGACTGGCTCAAGGAGAACAACCTGTTGCCTCAACAGATTGCCCAGAAGGGATCGTTGGACTTCGTGAGGGAGCTCGCGTTCCCCACAACGATCTGAACTACAGGGTGAAATTAGGAGAAGTCATTCGTTTAGATGGACTAATCAGTTGTTGAAGTAAACATCGGAGACGTTATATTCTTGATGAGTGACCTCAAAGTCAGTCGACAACGATGAGACGTCATTCTTAAATTTGATGCCTGTTGCACGCACATCCACAACAAACCATGTCAGCAACTATTGGTCTCAAGACGTTTTCGACTGCAGGTTCCGTCGATCTCCTCGCATCGGTTGGCAATACCCCATTGCTGGAGCTCACCACGCTCTCTCGTTTAACGGGCTGCAAGCTACTGGCCAAGGCAGAGTACTCTAATCCAAGCGGGAGCATCAAGGATCGAGTGGCCAAGTCGCTAATTCTCGACGCTGAAGAACGCGGATTGATCAAACCAGGAGGCACGATCATTGAAGCTACGGGAGGCAGCACGGGTATCTCGCTCGCTCTTCTTGGAGCTTCTCGTGGTTATAAGACGCTGTTGACGATGCCGGATATCACGGCGAAGGAGAAGATCCAGATGATGAAAACCATGGGAGCTGAGGTTCGCGTGCTGCCGACGGCCTCAATGGATGACAAGCAGAACAACTTCTTCCATGTCGCTCAGCGGCTCGCCAAGGAGATGCCGAATGCTTATTGTCCCAACCAGTTCGACAATCTTGCTAACATGCGAGCTCACTATGAGGGCACAGCTCCGGAAATCTGGGAACAGGTTGGTGGACAGATCGATGGATTCGTCTCGTCAGCAGGGACGTCAGGGACTATCGCCGGAATGTCGACGTTCTTGAAGGAGAAGAATCCTGACGTGAAGGTGTGGGTCATTGATCCTGCCGAGATCGCGAGCACTGCCATGTTCATCAACAATGACCGAACTTCGGGGACAGTCGAGGATGGCTACGAAATGCTTCCTGTAGTTAAAGGGTCATCCATTGCAGAAGGTGTGGCTGCACTCGCTCGTGTCACGAGTAATCTACGCGAAGCTATCATTGACAAAGGCGTCACAGGAACCAACCAGGAGATTGTCGACATGGCCTACTTCTTGCTGCGCCATGACGGAATCTTTGTTGGTCCGAGCAGTGCGTTGAATGTGCTTGGAGCAGTCAAGTTGGCGAGAGAGCTGGGTCCGGGTCATACCATTGTGACGATCCTAGCTGATGGTGGGGTTCGCTACGGCAGCAAGTTGTATAATGAGAAGTGGCTCGAAGATAATGGTTTGGTACCTGAAGCAGATGCTGTCAAGAAGGAATCGGTGCCGCTGGACTTTGTGCGTGAGCTCACGTTCCCGACGACTGTGACGACTCCGTACTCGTAGTATTTGCAATGAGGTGGTGTTCAGCAGTCTAATTTGAGTCTCCCTTTTGGACTTCTTGAAAGAGTTGACAACGGCACATCGCTTCAACGTTTCAATGCTTTCCGCTTCTTACTCGGAGTGTTGGGGGCATCTTACAGCCTACATGATGCTACAGTACTCGATGCAAATCGTCAAGTTCGATGACGCCGACAATGTGTTAATTACGATACTTTTTGAGGCCAATAATGCCTCAGCGCACGCGGGGCCGGTACGAATTACCTCAGCGCCAGCTAGTTAATCATATTAGCGCCGGGCTTGAACCACGATACTACTCAACTTGTCAGATGACGGCAACATTATTTTTTCGAGAGGGGGTCTTCTACGAATTTGATATTGAGCAACACAAAAAGCCTTAATTGGTGGTCGGAATTTCCAGATCTTCCTCAGGCGAGCGGTAGCATACCACTCGTCATTACGTTCATTATGGAGTACAGTTTGTTGCCGTAGCGAACACTCCATCGACCAGGATGGTCAAATTAATAGGACGGGGACCTAATTCTCTCGCCATCCTAAGCCGTTCATGGCACTGCGAAGGTATTATCGCGTAGAAGCAAGAAGTAGGCCATGTCGACGACCCCCTGGTGCTTTTACTCGAGTAGATTGCTTGTCACACTGATGAGTGCCTCCACACCTTCTACAATGATGGCCCTTTGACTACAGGCAGCATCTTGTAGACATGCTTGAGGTCTAGGGAAGACGATCGAGTTCGGTGGGTAGCAGCCTGAAATCTCCCACTCTGGAAACTCCCGCGCAAGCCCTTGGCAAGTCGCTGATACTGACATGTCTGATTGCGAATGTTGTACACATCAAACACTGATCATTGTGCAAGTACACTTTACTGATAAAAAAAAGTACGATATTTAGCAAGCAGACAAAGCGATAAAATGCAGGAGTGTTCGTGTAGCGCATAAGCAGTATTTATTTGCATCTTCACGCAAGCGAGAAATGATCCATTTTGACGACGACATCCTTGTGCTCTGAACTCAGGTACGAAGTCGACTTCTTTCTTGTTTTCTCCAGAAAATAAACGTTCTCTTGAGCCATGCTTTAAAATTCGTCCATGCTCCAGTGGGTGTACCGCTGTCAGTATAGTTTGGCCCCCCAATGGGACGTCGTTCCTCATTCACTGAGTGTTGGGTATCAGTCGTCATCTTGTCTTTACCTGAAGTCTCAATGGCATCGCTTACAGCAATCAGAACGATCACCGCCAGCAAGACACAGAACGCATTGATAGAACGCATGTTGAATACTGCTTGGCTTTCACGACAGGAATTGCACCATCCCACTAATCTCAAAACCGAAGGTTGTACTGTAATGTTCCAGTACCCGTTCTGTGACGCATCCTTACCCAAGGTTACGGTACGCTTACTGACGGATTAGAGTGTGGTACTAAATTATGGGTACAGTTGATGGAAAGTTTACGGTACAGTTTAGGGTACGGATCACTGTGGCAGACTGTAATTAACAATGTCACTTTTCATTTTGCCCAAGAACTACCAAGCTTCCTCAAAAAACGTAAAACTTTCCGTTGATGGTACAATGATCATCGGATCAACACCCGGAAATGACGTTTACAGTGGAGATTAGTTTTATTAATACCCACCTACCAGTGGATATGCCTAAACCTACATGCATCTGAAATGATGCAAGTACGAAGAAACGATATCTTCCCTGAGCATTTTATCTATCAATTGACAATTTTGTGAATGCAGCACAATGTTTCCAAAGCACTATTTTAGCCATGCTTGAGGCCGAAGCGTAGTGGAGGTTCTGCAGCTACGATTGTATCGCTATCTGCTTCATTGTGAGGACTCGGAACTTATATTTCTTATGTATGATTTTGTAGCAGTGCTTCCATTCCAATGCATACAATCAAGGCTTCCCATCATCCTCATCATCAGCAAGGATACTGGCGATTGAGACTATGGCGCATACGAAATCTTCTGCGGTAGCCACCTACAGTCAAAAGAAAGCATGCCATGGGCTCAGAGTCAATTTCATCGAATGTAAGTACACTCTTAACCCCTTCAAACCGGTAGCCGTATAAGCTGCGTTACGATGCGGGAAGCGTACCCAGGCTATGAGGGCTTAAGCTGCATACACAACATAGAGATAAATAATCTTTGTTTTTAGTATGACGGCTTCTGTTGCAAACACTATAAATACATAACCTTTGATAAGCACTTGGAGAGGATGCCAAGAACTGTAAGCTGGTGTGGGCGGCATTCAAGACCACCAGATAAACGTCCAAGCAACTCCCACGTGGCAGCACCACGCTTTGAAAGTATGTAATGCCAGGGCTGGATCTCAGCGGCGTTGAAGGCATCGATTACGTCGTTAGTGAAAGCTGCGGTCAGATACGCTGCAAAAGGTAAGTACCTGTGTATTCTTGTGCTTGTTCCTGTTGTTAAAAACAAATGACGTGCGTAGTGGCGTGGGAAGAGACAGTGAAGAGGTGCCATGCAGCTCAAGAAGCGCTCGCGGAATGGCATCCGACAGCGTTGAAGAAGACGATAACGAGCTGCAATGGAAGGACGCCATTTTGCTGATCATTTTCTGGATTCCATGAGAGGAGAGGAGAAGGTGCTGGTGGTTTTGCGGCAGCACATTGCAGAGTGCAGCAATTTCTACCTGCACGAGCAGGTCGACTACCGCGTTCATGCCTATTTCGAGATGAAGAAACAGAAGGACATGAAGGACACGGCAGCTGGAAGACCGGTCATTACTACTGAAAACAGTACTGTTCGAGACATGCGCCAAGATTTTCTCTCTGTAAAGCCAATAAAGTCGCACCAGCTCTGCGTATACACTGACTTACTGGTTGCTATGACATCATCCCAAATTGGGAGGAGCGCGCAAATCACTACCGTCAGGATGGTGTCGGAGCCATTTCTCATGGTATTTTTGGGCAGTACGTGGCGCACGATCGTTTCTTGGAGAAAGCCGAAACCTCCGTTTCAACAGCGAACAAGACCACGTGCCAAATGTGATCGTGCTTGAAATATCTGCTCGGTATCAATGTTTTACAAAAGACATTTGCTAGCGTTCATTCCACCAATACAGCTTTCGTTTGACGATGCTATGCTTTCGTCGAGATCGTCGTACAACCCAACTCGAATGAATATGAAAGAAAATCCCCACATGTGGGGCTCAAAGCTATTTATGCTTTGCTGTACACGCTCCGTTTATTGCATTCATTAAGGGTGTTGATGTCCTTATGCTGTATATACTTGTTTCGATGTGCTGCTAGTTTTGAAGTCTACTATGGTCAAAAGGGACATAATGCTGAGTCTGGAACTGTTGATATGAAGTCCGGTCCTGCTGTTGTTGTACATAACTTG